ATATTTTACATATACTCTATATTCATAAAATGTTGTTGTTAAAGGCTGCCATCCATACACTACACAACTGCTCTTACTCTGAATATTACTGCATAGGCCGATGCTGATTGAGGGGCCTGCTTGGACAACAGGAAATCCATTTCCGGCTACTGTGTATTCATTGGATTCAACTTAATTTCTTGGAAAGCCAGAAAGCAATCGACTGTTAGGATATCTACTGTAGAATCCGAGTACCGCAGTATGTCTGCATGTACTAGTGAATTGGTTTGGCTATCTTATATTTTTGGTGCCTTGAAGCTCAAGATCCCTACTCCTATTTCCCTTCACTGTGACAGCCATTCACATAACAGAGAATTCAGTTTTTCATAAACGAACGAAACACATCGACATTGCTTGTCATTTCATCCGGCATTATTACGATTGCAAATTCACTGTTCCCGTCTATACACGTAGCAGTGATCAATTAGCCGATATTCTCACGAAGCCCCTTCCCAGGTCTACTTTCTTACGTCTTCGTGCCAAACTTTGTAGGGATACGCTCGGCGCGAGGGGAGTGATTAGTAGAGGATCACCGATTGAAGACTGGTGCCCAATATTGGGCCTCTTTTGTAACTGGGACATTAGGACCATTTATTACTACGGTCATTTCCACTTTTTTTTTGTTTTTTAAATAACTCGTTGTATCTCTCTCGTTCAATGAATTAGTCGGTTACCAAAATTTTTTCAAATTGTTTTCTCTAGTTTGTTCATCAATAGTTCAGGATAATTTTACTGTTAGAAATTATTTAGGTCTTCAACCTGTGTTTTTTTATTTTCTAGGCTACGCTTATATGGAAAAAAATAATAATAATAATAATAATAATTGAAGAAGTAGATATGAGAGCTCCAACTACGCTTGGCAAGTTTGGAGGCCTAAACGAATGCAACAGAAGAATATGAAAACAACCTTATTTTGTCCAAAGTCGGCAATAAAATTGTCCGAATTTCAAATTCAATTTATTATTTAATATGCATTGAAATTCAATGAGAAAGTAAACACGACAAGACAAGTGTTACGAGATCCGAGGAAGTAGACTCGAGATATAGTCTTCATGTAAGTGGGGGAAGATGATACACAAACATGAATTGAAAACAACCACAACAAGGTTACTATTTGAAAAATTGTATTGTTAAATTGTGCCAACCTACAGTTTTATTTTATTTTATTTTTTAATTTTATTTTCTTTTTACATGTATTCAAAATTAAACAAAATTCATATATTTCATTTGAAATAGTTCAACAAGTCAAAGACATCGCTTAACCCTGATATAGTGTTATTTGACAATTCAAAATTATTCGAGACTTCAAATTGATATTTTGCTATTTTTCAAAGTTTTTTTTTTAATTTCAATTATTTTTTTCTTATGCTTGTTTTGAGTTTTCGAAATTTCAACTGTACAAATACCTATATATATATTTTTTCAATCAATATTTTATTTAATAAAAGAATTTGATCTTTTAATTGGCAACGATTTTCTTGTTCTGCTACTCTATCACGCATCATTGTCTATTGTTTATGTTTTTTACAATAAAAGCTTTTATGCACAGTTTTTTAAAAAAAAAAAAATGAAAAAAAGGAGAAGAAATATTTTTATCTGGTATAATTTTTTTTAAAAAAAAAAAAAATTCATAACAAGTGTTACACAAACCAAAATCAAACAAATCCAAAAAGTCAAATTAGAAATGCAAGTGACAAAAGGTTTAATTTAGAAGTGATTATCTTAAATGGATTAAACAACGAACTTGAGATCCAATCCTCAAGCGAGAGATATCTCACCGTTTGATTTGCAAGGGTTTGACGGATGTAATGGAAACTTGCATAAAAAGAACTTCGCTTTCTATTTGTTCTTTAATTTTTTTATTATTATTTTATTTTTTTGCTCTTTTACCCTTCTTTATTGGAATTTTCCTTTGTTTTCTTATATTTTTTAATATGCTTTGTTCATATATTTAAATTGTTGAATTCCAATCACATTAGATTTAATTTTCAGCTTTATTTTGTGTAATTGTTCATCCTACTACAAGAAAAAATCATTTTTGTAACAAAACATTTTTGTCTCTAAATTTAATTTTTCCGTTACTAATGACATTAGAGACGGAATTAGAAATGAAATTACATTAGCTACATAAACTTTAGGGACATAATTTCGTTACAAATATATTATTTTTTTTTGTAGTGTCCATGCAATTTAATTTCCCTTTTTCATTTTTATTTATATCAAATTAGATCCAAATTTATTTAGCGCGTGCCGGTTCTGCTTGGTTCTGTTTGCGCGTTGATTTATATTGCAAGACAAGCTCGGATACTTTTTTGAGTAGACCGGAGAACTCAAATTACATCGATTTTGAATAACCTAGATTCGTTGGTTCGTCATCGACAAATTTGAACGATAATATATATATATATACCTCCGACCCATAAAATATATATAAATTTTTAAATATTACTAGAATTATATATATATCGTATAAATTAAGATAAAATGATATTTAAATCCTAGTGGGACTATATATTATAAAATTAACTAAAATACTACTTCCTTTTTATAAGATGGGTTTTTTTTTTTTTTCATTTTTGTTCATCTGAAAACAAGGGTGTTATTTTATAATTTAGTAATTATATGTACTACCTACTTAACGTTATAAAAACTATTCTAATTTACAATATATTGTATATATATTATTACATTTATACTACACAATACTACTAATATTCAAAATTTACAAAAAGTAAATATTACTCTCTTTATGAGACGGGGGAGTATTATATTATAAAATGGTATTCAAACCCTATTAGGAGTTTGCTGTCTGAATATTATGATATAATTAGCCCAACTGTAAGAAATTACATACTTCATCGATTCGGCTCGATTGACACTTTTCATTAATGATGGATATTTAAAATAATAATATTTAATTAGTTAATAATAATAAATTATAACCTTTAACTTTTATATAATTAATAATATGATTAGTTTTATAATAATATAATTTATATAATTAAAAACATATAATATATATTAAAATATTTTTAAGAATATTACAATAAAATATATATGTAATATAAATATTATTTTATAGTTATAAAACAAGTAAATAAAAAATATATATTTATTATAATTAATATAAACTAATTTTATAAAAAGATAATATGAAGTTTTATAAACAAATACTATTGGAGTTTTAAATATAGATTAAATTATTTATTTTATAAAGAGAAATAAAAAATAAAATAAAATTAATGGAAATGTATAATATATATGTTATGTAGTTAATTAAATTAATTTATTTATTAAATATATTTTAATTTAGTAAATTTTACTAAAAAAAAATTTGTTAATTATTTTGAAATAAATAAAAATAAAAAATACGTCAATTAGAAACAAAATAAATGAAATATGTATTATAAAATTAATTAAAATACTATTATAAAATGGTATCCAAACCTATTAGGAGTATACTCAATGTTTTATATTAAAATATTATTATTTTTAATTTGTATATAAATATTACGTCTTAGCGTCCAAATTTACTTCCATTTTATTTTTAATAAAAATATATCACTTTTTCACTTTTTTTTACCAAAAAAATAAACATTTTATTTTTACATGAAAAAGTATATTATAAAATTAATTAAATTAATTGTATATAACAGCCATGATGTAAAAAATAATATTATAAAATTAATTAAATTAAATTTCCACTCATTAAATTGTAACATATCAAAGAAAATATAATAAAACTAAAATATATATATATCTATTGTTTCGTGACAGATAAAAGTATTTTTTTATAGTATTGCATTTAAAATTAATCTTTATTCACAATATCTTATCAAATATTTATTCAATTCAAAGCTTTTTTTTCACTCTCAATCTCATATCTTACTTCCAACCCAACCAAACCAAACCCCACATGCAAACACACTAGCAATATTTTTTTAAATCAAAACACCATTTTCAATATCTAACTTTAATTTTATTCAAAATAACAACACTAGAATTCTTTGAAAAAAAAAAAAAGAAAAAGGAAAACACTCGAGAAGCCAAAAAGATCTTAAATACATTACACAGATCAAGACATAAAATATAGTAGATTATAAAAAATGTATTACATTCCCTAGAAGCTAGACAAATCAATCAATAAGAAAGAGAACACACATACCATATCCATATTTTAAAAAAAATAATAAATATACCATATCCATTTCTCTCTTTTTTCTAACAAAAATAATAATAGTATTATTATCTGCAGGGTAACAAAATGTAAAAAACAATGGTTCCTGATACGTGGTGAGAATCGGAACAGCACTTATCATTTATAATACCTATATTAAATAAAAAAATCTATATATATCAAACATTTATAGAAATTGGGTAAACTATCCTTTTAATCTCGTAACTAACTGTATTTTCTAATCGTAAGTGAAACCTGACTCAAACTAGTCTTATAAGTGAAAAATTTTCATTGTTTTAATTTGTTTTAATCCTCCGACGCTGAAGGCCACATAGCGGATATATGGATTTTTTTTTTCATTTTTTTAAAATTTATTTTTTTTCAATTTATTTTATATTATTTTTAATATTATTTTTCTTTTTAATTTTTTTTATTTGATCAAATTGAAAAAATTAAAAATTAATAAAAAAATAAAATCCTCGTATCCGCCAAATGTCGCTGACCTGACGGACACATAAATTCCGAAAAGCCACGAGAGCGTCTCCGGCCCGGAGGACTAAAACAACAAAAAATTTCCACTTATGAGACTAGTTTGTGACAAGCTCCATTTACGCGAATAAAATGATAAAAGAATCCAATTACGAGACTAAAAAAAACAGTTTATCCATAAAAATATTATTTATATAAAATAAAGAGTCCCATTTAATAAATAAATAAATAAACCAGAGAAATTCCAAAGTAAGTTGCGGAAATTAATTAATCTAATTATACATAAAGCTAACAATGATGAAACATTTAAAAATTTATAACATAAATTAATTGGAAACAAGAGAAATGCAACAATATATATACACAGAATTAACCTTAATTGTTTGTAAACAGTATATAATTTCAACCTTAATTAATATAAAAAACACTTATTTAAAAAAAAAAAAAAAAAAACTGCCCTGCATGCTCGATCGATTGATCATAAACAAAAAATACAACCCACATAAAATCTAATCAAATTAGTATAAGACGTATAATAAATACCTCTTGAATTATCCTGTATATATATATATATATTGATCTCCTCCATAGGATCATCTTCTCCAACTTCATACCCACCATTGTCCGAAATCATTCAACTCTTGTGTGCAAGAATATCTGAAGCAAATCCTCCCAAGAAATTAAACTTCAAAAGGATCGCAGCAATAATATAAATATATATATATATATATTATGCAATTAGGGCAAACTTTGGTAGAAACCCTAATTTCAATCCGATTAGATGCTGTCGAAAAACAACGGATCATCATAATCCCAGATGCTCGTCGGAGGGTATTCATCTTCTCCTGCCAACGGCCACGACGGCGAGGTGACGTAGCCGTTGAAAACTGCGGAGGGATCGGAGATTGGCGGCGGCGGTGGCGGCGGCGGCGGCGGCGGGGGAAGTGGTTCTGTGGATGCGATGGAAAAACTCGACCCGACAGAATCGACGAGAGAACTGAAATCATCGTACACGACAGTAGGGTGCAATTGTTGCAAATTTTGTTGTTGCTGGTGGCTGTCGTAATCATTGCAATTAGGGTTCGGATAAGATGCGGGAGGATCCGACGGTGGCTGTTTGATGGTGGGGTCGGCGCTGAATTGCTGCTGCGCCATACCCATCTGCTGAGCCGCCGGCAATTGATGAGGTATTAAATTAGGGTTGTATTGTACGGTAGGGTACAACCCGTACTGCACGAAAGTACTGCTCCCCGAAGCGAGCGGGAGTTGGTGGGGCGTCGGGGAAGAAAACGTGAGCCCAAAACCAGCCGGTCGGGGGAGAATCGGCCGGAGAGTTTGGGTCGAGGAGGAGGAGGAGTTCGACCGGGACGAGTGGGATGAACCGCCGCCGGAGTCGGGTCCGCCGGAGGCGGTCCCGCCGCCTCCGGATGGCTGGAGATTGAGCTGAGCTCTGGAGCCGTATAGCATAATGGCGGCGCGGTCGTAGGCTCGGGCGGCGTCCTCGGCGGTGGCGAAGGTGCCGAGCCAGCGGCGCGTGCGCTTACGCGGCTCCCGGATCTCGGCGACCCATTTTCCCCAGCTCCGCTGGCGGACGCCGCGGTATCGGAACTTGGAGTTGTCAGGGCCGCCCTTGCCGCGGCCGCGCTTGGTGGTTTTATTGGTGGTGGTGCTTCCGCCGCTGTCGCTGCTGGTGGTTGGGTGGGTGGGTATTGGGGGGTCATTGGTAGGGTTAGGGTTAGGGTTAGTGGAATTGCAGCAGGGTTGGCCTTGGGGGAGGCGATGATTAGTATCTGGAGGTGCAGCGGCACCGCTCATGGTGAGTGGCTGAGCGCGGAGGCGCCGCCTGGAATTATGTAATAAAATTGTAGAGAGAGAGAGAGAGAGAGAGAGAGGAGAGAGGAGAGGAGGGTGAGGATGGTGGAGGTGTGCGGTGGAGAATACCCAATTGAGAGTGGAGAGATCAGTGAATGGCTTTTCTTTCTTCCCTTTGATCAGGCGGCTGTTTGTTGCAGTAGCAGCTGCTGTCTTCAAAGAAGAGTTGGTCTGCAAATGGTGGACGAGGGCGGTGCTCATGTGGACATAATTCTTATATACATACAACTATATATATATATATATTTATATTTACATGTATGTATATATATATATCCATTTCTACGTGTTTACATGGAATGGGATATTTTTTTTTTTTTTTTTTTTTTTTAAATGGTGGATTGCTGTGTAGTGAAGCAACGAAGCAAGTTTATTTAGATAGAGTGTCAGAGATATTTAGGTATATTAAATTAGCAAAAATTTAGATTTGGAAATGATTAGGATATAAGATTGCGGCTAATCAGTATTATAGTATTATATTGATTTATTGCAACATAATGTACGAAAAAATTGACCATACAAGATATGTAGTTAGTCTATTTATATATTCTATGTTGAGATTACTTATAATATATTTTTGTATAATTTATTATAATTCGTTATTAGTTAATGTATTATATTAATATATAAGAAAATTGCCATAGTTTATGTACTATTTGTATAAATTTATATGTTGTTAGCGTTGTGCTAAATAATAATAAAATCACGATGTAATGTAAAAAAGAGGACAAGATCCTCGACTTTCAATACCATTTGCCCTTCTCTCTCAACATTCCTAATATATATAGGAATAGTTACTTCCTTGAATTTTTTAATTAGCACATATAATATATATAATATATGTTCTTATTATATATAATACATATTGTGTCTGAAATAAAAGTATGTATTATTTGTTCAAAATTATATGTGTTGTATAAAAATATATAATATGTTAAAATCAATTATTGTGTGATGTATGTGATTATAACATGTATTGCTAACTTATGTGTTGTATTTGTAATATATTAATATAAGAAATATACTGTCAGAAATAATACATTGTGTTGTTTGTTATTACATGATGTGTCTAACACAATGTTAAATTTTAAATTCAGCACAGTAACCGCTATATATATATATATATATATATAGTAGGAGAGAAGTAGACTATGGAACAATTAAGTCTCGATTATTTTAATTCAATATTAAATAATGTTTTAGATAAGAAATTTATATTCAATCATACATGGGAATTGGGGATAACAATAACGAACGAACGAACATAGGTCATTATAATCAATGTATAAATTTCAAACATTTTAAAACTTCATGGACATTGGTGATAATTAAGCTCTATAATTGATGTTATTTACACAAGCATTTTTAAAATTTTTGTTACTATTCAAATTTACTACTCTTTTAGTCCATTTTTTTAATGTACTATTTGGAGTTTTATAATAAATTAATAAATAATGATATTTTATTTATTAGTAAAAATATGTAAAAAATTTTAATATTTTTGTCATTTGATTTTATTTATAAAGTAATTGTACGACTAATGATATATCTGTAATTTAAGTATATTTTGATATTAATGTATAATTATTTTTATTAAAATAAAAATAATAATATTTTTGAGTAGACAATGGTAAAAAAAAATTATTTTTTGAATTGGGGGAGAGTGATCTCATAAAATACAGTTGATTCTTCCTTAAAATATTAAATTAAATATTATTTTTTTATTATTTCAATTATTTTTTTTCAAAAACTCCAAAATTTTATAGTTTTTTTTTTCTTCCTTTTTTTTTATCGGACCAATTTCAAAACCCTTTTGTCTTAACGGAGCATCAATTGTACAAATTATATTTCAAATATCAACAAAATGCTTTTTATTTTGCATTTCAAAATCAAAACTACATTACAATTTTTAATAAAAGTATATTAATATTTTTTTATAAAACAATACATCAAAATATATTTAAATTAAAATGTAAATAAGAATACACTCAATTTCAAACCCAAACCAAAAAAACACAGGGTTTGTTTATTTAGTGAAATAATTTAAAGATATATTTTTTTAAGTAAGATATATGATATTGTGTAAATATTATAAAAATAATGAGTATATGTACTATATTATTCTTTTTAAAATATATTTTTGGAAAAATATGTATTTTTTTAAGGAAAAGAACACATCCACATCTTTCTATAATTTCTTTTATATTTTTCTGGTTGTAAATGAAACGAGGCAGGCACAATTTTTGTCCAACATTTATGCAATTTAGGCTCTTTAAAATATATTTCCTCCGTCCCATATCTATATATCCATTTGTTTTTTACACGAAGTTTTAGAAATATTAATATTATATTGAGATAAAGTAGAAATAAAGGTAAAAAGATTAAATTAACCCTATTAGTATTGTATGATATAAAAGTAATAACATTTGTGTAATATATTATAAATTGGAAGAGTATTTGTAATATTAGATAGATATTATAATTACTAAAAAGGGAAATAAATATTTTATTATGGAACGTACCAAAATAAAAAAAATAGATAGATTGTTAAGGGACGGAGGACAAACTTATATAAGTTTGTTTGTCATAGGTCATTATTCAATAATAAAATGATGTTATTAAAACATTATAGAATTTATTAAAAAAAAAAAAAAGGTTAATAATTAATAAACTTTTTGAGTTTTTTTAAACAGGCAATGATAGGATCGGAATAAATATATAATTATTTAGAACGGAATTAAATAAAAGATTAAAAAACATATATTCAAAACATGACTTGATAATCTTTTTGTCACAATTAAAATAGGCAAAATTTTGTGCCTATATATAAATGAATTAATCAAGTTTAGTACCATAATTATGAGATTTTCATTTTCAATGTGTGTAATAAAGTTGTATTTTTTTCATCAATTAAAATTATAATTTGTAAATATATTTTCAATTCAAAGTCCCAAATGGTTTTATTAAAAAATTTAATTAAAACTATTATTTATTGATTTAGTTTGAATCACGCAAGAAATGTGCCTGAACAATATTTAATTTTTTTATTTTAGTTTATAAAAAAAAAAAATGTACACAATACATATTGATATTGTGAATCTTGTAAATTGATATTTTAGGGTTCCTCGATTGTCCCCCAAACTGTCTACCGATCATTTAATTTATTGGCATGAAAAATTTAAAATCAGTGCAGGGTGCATTAAATTGGTCAGAAATGATTTATTTATATTTAATATTTATAATATTTTCCTATTATTTGATTTTATGTCAAGAAATAGTATTAAATTTTAAATTTAATAAAGATTAAATATTATATACTTAAAGTATTTAATATTTCAGCTAAATATTTAATGTTTTAATGTGTAAGGTTTTTAATATATATATATATAATTTATTTAAAATATTATACTACCTCCGTCCCATAATAAGGTATTTTGCGTCATTGTATTTAACATTAAAAATATCTATTATATCTGCATAATTTTTGTACAAATGTCATTATATTAGTATTATAAAACACTAATAGAAGTATTTTTGTCATTTAATATATTTTTATATAATAATTACTATTCAAATATCAACACAGCAAAAAATATAAATGAATACCTTGTTATGAGATGGAGGGAGTATAGAACATTTCTTACCATCCTTATCATTTCCAATATATGTTTTTAATAAAGTAAGTGTGTTTGTTTTGTGAGATAAATTGAATGAATATTTTTTTTATACGAAGTATAGTGAATTGTGTAGAAAATATAAAAATAATAAATATATATGATATATTAATTTTTTTGAAAAACAGACGGAGAAAAATGGTGGAAGAACACACCCAGTTCATAAAATATTTATTATTAAAATAGTAAAACATATTTTCTCTAAGTGTGTGTTCTTCTACAATTCCCAAATAATACATTTTTCCAAAAAAAAATAATATTATACATACTTAATATTTTTTATATTACTTATACAATTTTGTATACTTCACATAATATATATATATTATTTCAAACAATTTTATTAAACAATATTTTCCCAAATATCACAATTCTCCAAAATATTTTCCCAATTCTTTAAAAGCTATCAACATAAATCCTATGAAATTTAAAAACTTACATTTTATTCTCAAACCAATAATTGAATCTATGTGGTTCTTTTGATTTAAAAAAACAAAATACATTTTTTTTTTATAAAATATGTTATTATATATTATTTTAATATCAAATCAAAAATTTTCAAACCAAATAAAAAGAAACACATTAACTCATTGTATTATATATATATGCATATTGGAATTACATTGAGTCGAAAAAGAATCACTTTTTGTATTTGATTTTTGTGTCATTCTACTTGACATAAAAAATATTATTAAATTTGAATAATTTACTTTATAAATATCATTATATTTGTATTATAAGAGGCTAATAAATATATTTTTGTCTTTTTTTTCTTAATTTGTACTAGGTCTTGATATACTAATTAATATTCAAATATTATCATGCAAAAAGTCAATGACACCCTTGCAGCGGGACGGAGAGAGCATTTAATTTGAATTTTAAAATACTTGTCCATGCATGCATGTCCCGATGGTTGTGAAACTCAAATTAAAATTAGGGTAAACTGTTTTTTATAGTTTGATCTATTTATTATTTTAGTCCGGTAAGTGTAGCATGTCATAAACTAGTCCCTTAAGTGAAAAATTTTCGCTGTTTTAGTCCTCCGGTGCCGGAGACGCCCGCATGGCTCACTGGCGGACACGTGGATTTTTATTTTATTTTTTCATTTTTTAAAATTTTTTATTTTTTTTTAATTGGACCAAATAAAAAAATAAAAAAATAAAATTAAAAATAAATTAAAAATAAGTTTTAAAAAAAATTTAAAAAACTGAAAAAAAATAAAAAAATCCACGTGTCTGCCAAGTCAGCGACACCTGTCGGACATGTCACCTCTGGCGAGCCACGCGGGCATCTCTGGCGCTGGAGGACTAAAACAACAAAAAATTTTCAGTTATGGGACTATTTTACGACAAGCTCCACTTACAAGATTAAAATGATAAGGAGGTCCAGTTACGAGACTAAAAAAAAACAGTTTACCCTTAAAATTATTTTCTATTTGATTGTCATTTCACTAAATTGTACAAAATCTTTGACTAATTAGATTTACGCATTTATATATACAATGTATTCACTTCATGTAGTTAACGTCGTGAAAAATACTTA